TCCTCAGGAAACACCTCGAGGAACTCCCCCACCACAGGAATGCCAGTGATATCCTCCTATTTCCCATTCACCAAACCTCCCAACATGACATAACCAAATGCCCCTGCTCTCAAGGCCTTCCTAGCATACAGCAATGAAATATATGGTGAGGAACTAGCTATGGAATCACACGGAGACATCACCACGCGTTTTGCACAGCAATCAATCAGTGCACAGTTTCTAGATAACCAATCCATGCCTAGAATAATCTCCAAGTTGGCCATCGGCAATCCTATCAGATCCATCGAGAACTCACGGCTGTGCCACTGAAATGCTACATCGCGATGTACAGTGGTAGAATCACATATTTCTCCGATGGCGGTAGTCACCCGCAACGGTGGAGAAAGCACAGACATGGGCAACTCAAGCCCCAAAGCAATCGGGGTAGCAACAAACGAATGCGTAGCCCCGAAATCAAACAATGCATCAACAGCAATACCACCAATAGACACAGTACCTCTAACAAGGTTCGGAGCGTGGTCTGACTGCTGTCTATCCAAGGTGTACAGACGCCCAACAGAAGGTGGCACCGCAAGTGCCGAAGTAAAAGCCATTGGAACCATCTGCAAAGGAACTGCCTGAACAGCTGCAGCTCTCGCTGTCGACGACGGACAGTCTCTAGAGAAGTGGCCCTTCTTACCACATTGGAAAAGATCAATTGACCCGAAGCACAACGACCAGCATGCTCCTTTCCGCACCCCGCACATCTCGGAGTGGAAGGAGGCCTAGCAAAACTCCCCTGCTGTGAAGCAGCCCTCTTGAATTGACCAGGCGCCTGCCTAGTCGCCAACTGTTTACCTTTGCCCTTCCCAGCAAACTTCCTATCCTTCCAAGAAGTAGGAGCAGGAGTGGAACTAACACTCCCCTTGGTCTCGTCGACCTTGGCCCTCTTGGCCTTGCTCACAATGCAGACATCCTCAATGTCCGTACACTGCTGAACCAGTGTACCAAAATCCCTCGAAGCAACTCCAGCAACATGCTCAGCAATCACCTCACTAAGTCCTCTGCGGAACTTAGCAGCCAGAAACATCGGAGTAGAAGGAACCATCCAGAAGTGCACAAACTTCACTAGCTCATTAAACTTGGCCAGGTACTCATCAACAGACATCGAGCCCTGAACCAATCTATCAAATTCCCCCTGCTTCCTCTCCTGCGCATCGTTGGGAAAGTACTTGCCCAAAAAGCATTCCTCGAAGAATGGCCACGTCATGACATGACCATGCATCTCATAAGCACGAGAGGTGTTCGTCCACCACTCATGGGCATCGCCCTCCAGCATGTAAGTCGAGAACATCAGTTTCTACGGGTCTGTACACTGCATGACCCAGAATATCTTGTCCAGCGCCTGTAACCATCTCGCTGCAACAATAGGATCCAAAGACCCATCAAACACAGGTGGCTTATGCTTCTTGAAAGCATTCAGCCGGCGATCAATCACGTCACGATCCTCAGCATGCCCTACCAAGGTCTCCATCGTCTCAGCGACATGAGTAGCACTGCCAATGTGACTCAGGCTCTCATCCTGAACACTAGGTGGAGGCGGCGGCGGCGGAAACTGACCTACAGCAGGACCAGCCCTCATCTCCTCCAACATGACTCTCATCATCGTCATGTTCGCCATCCTGTTCGCCTCGAAGACATCCTCAGTGGTCCTCCGGTTTGCTTCACAAACCTCTTCTGCGGCTATCCGGTTCGCCTTGCGAACACCGTCCATCATTGCCGCGTTGGCCAATCTAGTGGCCTCCTGATCGGCTAACCTAGCCGCCTGTATCTCAGCCAATTCAGTCAGGATAGGATCGGGTTGATCCTCAGAAGTCTCTCGTGTTCTCCCGGACCTTACCATGACTCTGCATAAGTTACACAAATTATGAGTTGATCAGGCCCACGCAATGTGATCACGTATGCATTATCATAATAGAATTCGACGGAGTAAACACACAAGACAGACGCAACCAAACATCCTAGCTATTGCAATACATACAGGCTTTTCCCTCGAACCATTGCTCTGATACCATAAACGTAACACCCCGTATATATCCGGTAATGTTATCATACTATTGTATTAAGCTGCACTTAATTAAAAATGCGGAATATCTTTTTCTTTTCAATTATGATGCCATTATCATTACCAACTTGCTTATTAATCAATTAATAAAACATCTCCTGTATGTACATTGCAATAAACAGCTAACCGAAATACCTCATTAATTGAATAACATAAGTATGTCTCTAGTCACGGAACTACCACACGTAGACCGGACCAACTTGCGGTTTATACAACTCAACTCACAAGTACTAACAACATAGTGGCATGGACAACTCCCATGCTCACCCAAATAAGGCAACAAAGCCCAACATCAGTCTCAACTCAATAATCATAAATGACAGAAAACATAAACATCATCCAATCCAGTCATGCTAGCATAATATGAACCGCACTAAACATCAACTAAGCTCTGGCCTCCTGCCGCCAGAGGCATCAGTCCTCATACTACCTGAACCTGAAATAAGCATTCCCCAAACATGGGGTGAGATCTCTAAACAAGAAATCTCAGTAAGACAAGGGGTCCTCAAGGATCTTCCACCCCAAGCTCACTTACATGTGCAATATAAGTTCAAAAGCAGTTCATCAATATCATTTCTAAAACAGTGCAATGCAGCAGATAATCATGTCATGTGTGTCAATACTATTCTACTGGCCAAAGAAATGCAGGATATATATACGTCTAATAACCACAAATAGTGCAAGACGCTACTTGCATTCACCCCGGATCACCATATTGTATGATGCCACATACTCAGGCTTACCGTCAAGATGGAACAACACATGCATATTAAAAGCCATTACCCATAAAGCTCAACAACATTTCAAATATCCAAAGCATGTAATACAGCATGCATATAACCATACCCCCATGGGACATGGTGGAACCACAACATGGCTAAACCGAGGACACGAAAGCTTACCTCTTAAGCAATCAATCCAAGTCAAGTCCACACAAGCTCAATGTCCAAACACAGCAGATCACAATCTGATTTAGGACCAGCAAGCATATTAACATTCATAGCTCAATAGCATAAACATAAAGACTACGTTTTCCTTTTACGTTTTACGTCTTAAGGCTTCCCACAAAGCCATAAGCTGTTAATCACTTGATTCTGACTTAGTTAAGTATTTATAGAAGTTCAACTTCATCAATCTAGGGTCCACAAACCCCCAATAGCCTACTCTATGAACAATGCAACTACTGTTCTTTGAAATTCCAGAATATCCGGATATTCGTCGAGGCCATTTCCGGATATCTATATCCGGATATTCAGATCCCCATATCTGGATATCAATATCCGGATACCTATATCCGGATATCAATATCCGAATATTCACAACAAAATATCCGGATATTTGGCGACAGAATCCAGATTCTGCATTTCGCGAAAATCCAAACCAAAGGTCCAACTTTTACCGATTACAGAAGTCTAAACATGCATTTCTAGGTGTGTTTAACCTTAACCACCCTTAAGTTGTCAACTTAGCTCATTACATGCATCAATGTTCCATTTTTAAGCATTAAACTCAAGCACAAGAGTGGTGAAGCTTACCAACAACTCAAAACAGTGGGAAGAATGCTATTGGAGCTCACTAAACTGACTCCACAGTTCTGACTTGGTCCCAAAACGAAAATGACACACCAAGGTTGGTTCTTTCTCCACAAAGTTCACACCTTGAAGCTCAAAAAGCCAACTTCAAGGTTCCCACAACCCAAACTCACAAGGTCAGCCCACTCTTCTCAAACTCAGAAGCTCAAACTCAACAATGGAGCACCCAACAACCTTACAAGACCAACTCCCACTCAACAATGGTGTTTAAGTGAAGGTTTCAAGAAGAAAAGGTGAAGACTTGGAAGGTTTTCAAGCAAGCAGACCAAGGTTGAAGAAGGCAGCAGTTGACCCTTCAGCCACTCACGTAGGAGGCAAAAAAATAACTTAGGATCATGTGCCAAAGTTGTATTTATAGCCATTTTAAACTTAATCGCATTGTATTAACCTTAATTGCTACGCTTAGCATTTTAATCCCAAACTCAGGATTCTTAACCTACTCAATTTTACAAGAATTATCATATTTTTCTTATATTTTTCGGAGTACCTTTCTGGTATGCGCTTTTCATAGCCAGTACCAGTTTCGGGCACCAGTTCTCATTATTTAAACTTGAAACTCGTTTTACAAGTCCTACATGTTATTCTAGTAATTATCATGCACTTATTATAATTTTTCGGGATACTTTTTTGGTATGCATTTATACCGACTAGCAGAACCGGTATTTCACTTTTCGTCAGAAAAGCGACTTTCAGCATTATTACTCACTATAATTATTAGAGCCTCATAATAAATATTAGGATCAATTATGGAATTATCTCATCAAACTCATAATTAACTGATTAATTTCCTTAATTAACGGTGCAGGTTCTTACACTTATCACAGCGGTTCGTGCAACAATTTGCTCATTGTGGACCTCAGCCCAAAACAACGCATAATTTGTGCGGAGTAAGACAAAAGCCCGGAGAAAAGTTGCGAGATTATTACGAACATTTTCAAGCAGAAGTAAGACAAGTCAAAGGGTTAGAAAATCAGACGTATTTGCTGTTGTTCACTACTGGATTACAACCCGGAGGGATAGCGAACTCGTTAGCCAAAAAGTGTCCGGCTACAAAGGAAGATTTGTTGGAAAGAATTCGAAAATACATTGATTTGGAGGAATTTAAATCTTCTCAAAAGCAAATTGAACAAGGTTTTCGAGAAACAACTCAAAGTAGGAGGCCGGAGAGACCAGCAGAAAGGGGCCAGTTTGAAGAGAGGCGGCATCGGTTAGTCGGAGAAAGATTTAGGGAGGCATACAGGAGAGAGTTTACACTGTTGAATACGTCTAGAGCTCAGATATTGAAAAAAGTAATGTCTACGAACATGAGAAAGGTCCCAAGGCCGCCACCCATTCAGTCAAGATACGTGCAGACAAACAAGACAAAATGGTGTGAATTTCATCGGGGATACGGGCACCACACAGACGACTGTTATAACTTGCAAAACGTTATTGAACGGTTGATCAAAGAAGGGGAGTTACAAAAGTATGTGAGAAGAAAAGGAGATGGTGATAACGAAGATAAATACCGGCGACAAGACCGTAGTCGGAGCCCGCCTGGAGGAAGAAGCCAAGATGCTAGTAAAAGAAAAAAATAAAAGCAAGCATCCCCCAATGCAGTCCAGATGAGACACATATGTACTATAGCCGGGGGGCGAGCAGGAGGAGGAGAGTCGAGTAACGCTCGCAAAAAACATTTGAAAATGTGCATGCTATTTCAGATAAGCCGCGTTTCAAAAAGGAAAGAAAAAAGACGGGAAAACAAGTAGTTTTCAAAGACTTGGACGAAGAGATAATAAATCCAGAGCATGATGATACTCTAGTGATTTCAGGATTGCTAGCAAACTATCGAGTTAATAGAATGCTGGTAGATTCAAGTAGCTCAGTGGACATTATATTTTGGGACGCATTTAGAAGAATGGATTTGGATTATGAACAGTTGGAACCATGTGGAGCCGAGCTGCTAGCCTTCACAGGAGATAAAATTAAGCCATTGGGATATATCCCATTGAGGTTGACTTTAGGCAAGGCACCCACGCATAAAACGGTCACCTTGTCATTTGCAGTGGTAGATTTGAGCTCGGCGTACAATATTATTTTGGGGCAACCATTCATGAAGAAGTTTAAGATCTTTTTATCGATTGATCAGTTGGCTATGAAATTTGTGGCCAAAGATGGGTCAGTGGCTACGATAAAGGCGGACCAAGTGGTTACTCGAAGTTGCTATAATATGAGTTTACGAGTTCCGCAAGCAAGTAACGGAGAAAGAATGATGGAGCCGGCAAGAAAAGCCAAAGAAGAAAATATGCAAGGAGAAAAGGAGGGAAAGAAAGAAGAACGGGTAATGGTAGTAGGGATGGATCCTCGAGAGGAAGATAAAGGAAATAGGCCGGATGTAACATCCCGTATATATCCGGTAGTGTTATCATTACATCGTATTAAGCGGTGCTAAATTAAAAATGCGGAATATTCTTTTTCTTTTCAATTATGACGTCATTATCAATTACCATCTTGATTACTTAATCAATTTTATAAAATAACGCCTGTACGTAAATTGCAATAAGACATCAACTGAAATACCTCAATATATAAATAAAGTGTGTATCTAAATCACGGTATTACATCTCGTAATCCGGACAATATCCTGATACATTATTACAACTCCCAAAAGACTCAAGACGAAACAATACTATGTGTCATGGACAATCCCCATGCTCACCAAATAAACAGCGTAAACAACAAGTCTTAACATAAAACTCCATAAACATGAACTGAAGCTATAAGCATATAAGCAGCATGCAAATCCAGCATCCAACATGTCAGCATAAATAACAGCAAATCTAACTCAGCTCCGGCCTCCTGCCGCCTGAGGTCTCAACATTACCTGATCCTGAAATAAGCATTCCCCAAACGTGGGGTGAGATCTCTAAACAAGAAATCTCAGTAAGACAAGGGGTCCTCAAGGATCTTCCACCCCAAGCTCACTTACATGTGCAATATAAGTTCTGAAAGCATTTATATCATTATCAGTTCCAAAACTATGTAGTGCAACAGATATCTATAGCATGTGTGTAATCACTATTATACTGGCCAGAGAAATGCAGGAATATGTCTATCTCCTACATGTAGTACAAGGAACACCACTTGCACCTCACCCACAGCCTCACCGTATTGTATGTTCTACATACTCAGGTTTACCGTATAGGTGGAACACCTCCATGCATATCAACAAGGCACTAACATACAATAACTCAACAACATTTCCAAAATATCAAAAGCATGTAACACAGCATGCATATACCATACCCCCATGGGACATGGTGGAACCACAACATGGCTAAACCGAGGACACGAAAGCTTACCTTGCAAGCTCACTACCCAATGCCAAGAGTCCTCACAGCTAAAGTCCAACACATAGCAAATCGCAATCTGATTAGGACCAGTAAGTGTATCAACATACAATACAAAAACATTAACATAAAGACTACGTTCTCCTTAACGATTTACGTCTTAAGGCTTCCAACAAAGCCACAAGCCCTTAATCACATGATTCTGACTTAGTCCATTAATTACAGAAGTTCAACTTCATCAATCTAGGGTCCACAAACCCCCAATAGCCTACTGTCCTCCCAGCACAGCTACTGTTCTTCGAAATCCAAGAATATCCGGATATTCCTTAGGTACATATCCGGATATGCAATATCCGGATATCTCACTGACCATATCTGGATATACAATATCCGGATATCCAGATTCCCATATCCAGATATCCAATATCCGGATATCCAAATCCCATATCTGGATATCACATATCCGGATATTTCTCGGGCAGATATCCGGATATTTCACGACAGAATGCAGAAACTGCATTTCGTGAAGATATCCTTCCAAGGTTGGGTTTTACTGATTCTAGACACTTAAACATGCATTTCTAGGTGTGTTTGACCAACCCCAACGTTAAGTTATCATCTATAAGCCTTTATATGCATCAAGGTTCTATTTTTAAGCTCAAAGACTCAAGATCAAAGGTGATGAAGCTTACCCAAGCTCAAACTCAGAAATGAAGGCTCTTGGATCTCACAAGAAACTCCTAATGGTTCTGTCTTGAACCAAAAACAAAAATGGTGAACCAAGTAAGGGTCTTTCTCACCAAAGGTGGCTCCTTGAAGCCACTCAACCAAGAACAAAGGCTCCTTCCCTCAAGGCAAAAAAACTCAGCCCAAGAACTCAACAAAACAGAGGCTGGAAATACAGAAAAGCACCTTCACACCCTCACAAAGATAACTCTCAAGTGTATGCAAGAAGAAAAGAGGAGGATCAAAGCCAAAGGTGACAACTTTGTTCAAGAAAAGGAGAAGAAAACCCAAAGGAACAACCAAGCTGATCAGCCCTTCCTCCACTCACGCACAAGAGGCAGTTTTCTAGGGCATTGTGCCCTTAAAAGCCATATATATAGCCCCTTTAAAATAAAACACACAATACTAGCTTTAATTGTTACGCTTAGCATTTTAATCCCAAACTTTGGATTCTTAACCTACTCAATTTTACAAGAATTTTCATATTTATATTATATTTTTCTGAGCACCTTTCCGGTACGCGCTTTTCTTAGCCAGTATCAGTTTCTGGCACTAGTTCTCATTATTTGGACTTGAAACTCGTTTTACAAGTCCTACATATTATTCTAGTAATTATCATGCACTTACATTAATTTTCTGGGATACTTGCTCGATACGCATTTATATCGACTAGCAGAACCGGTATCTGCATTTTTCTTTCGAAAAGCGACTTTCAGCATTCTTAACCACTTACTACATTTATTAAGCCTCATAAATAATTATTAGGGTCAATTATGGAATCATTTCCTATTTTTGCCTAATTAATTAATTAAATACCTTATTTAACGGTGCAGGTTCTTACACCGGAACCCGCTAGAGATATGGAAAAAGTTCAATTAGGGATATCTCAACAGCAGTGTACGAAGATGGGTTCCGAGTTGGAACCCGAGGTGGCATAGAGCTTGAAGGAGTTGTTGAAAAAGAATGCTGATTTGTTTGCATGGAAACCCTCTGATATGCCTGGCATGGATCTGGCATTGTCTTGCCATCGCTTGGCAATGACCCCAGGAGTAAAGCTGGTAGCCCAGAAAAAGAGAATATTTTGTTTGGAAAGGAGGAAGGCCATTGAAGAAAAGACACGAGAGCTTTTGGAAGCAGGGTTTATCAGAGAAATAGAATATTCTACGTGGTTAGCCAACCCGGTGTTCATAAGGAAGCCGGATGGGAAGTGGAGAATGTGTACAGATTATACGAACTTGAATAAAATTTGTCCTAAAGACCCATTTCCATTACCAAGTATTGATCATTTGGTAGATAGTGCATCTGGGTATAAAGTGTTGTCATTTATGGATGCATATTCCGGGTATAATCAGATACCGTTATGGAAAGAAGATCAGGAAAAAACAGCGTTCATAACTGAGAATGCAGTGCATTGCTATAATGTCATGCCGTTTGGATTAAAAACACAGGGGCAACGTACATGAGAATGATGAACAAGGTGTTTAAGGCACAGATGGGTAGAATGTTGGAGGTGTACATGGATGATATGATCGTGAAGTCGAGAGATGGTAAGACGCACTTAGAAGACTTGCAGGAGGTGTTTGAATAGGTCAGGAAGCATAATATGCGCTTAAATCGAAATAAGTGCGCGTTCGGAGTTCCAGCTGGAAAGTTTTCGGGTTTCCTTTTAACAGAAAGGGGAATTGAGGCTAACCCTGTAAGAACCCGCACCGCTAATTAAGAAAATTAATTAATTAAATGTGAGAATTAGGAAATAATTCCATAATTGACCCTAATAATTATTATGATGCTTTAATAATTATGGTAAGTGATTAAGAATGCTGAAAGTCGCTTTTCAGACGAAAAGTGCAGATACCGATTCTGCTACTCGGTATAAATGCGTACCGATGAAATATCCCGGAAAATTATAATAAGTGCATGAATATTCCTAGAATATTAAATAGGACTTGTAAAACAAGTTTCAAGTTAAAATAATGAGAACTGGTGCCAGAACTGATACTGGCTATAGAAAAGCGGGTACTAGAAAGGTGCTGCGAAAAATAAAATAAAAATATGATAAATCTTAGAAAAATGAGTAGGTTCAGATTCCAAAATTTAGGATTAAAATGTTAAGTGTAGAAATTAGCGATAATACTATGTGTTTAATTCCTAAGTGGCTATAAATACACTTATTTGCACAAAACCCTAGACATTCCTATTGTCCTTCGTGAGGCTCCTTGGGTGGCTGACCAGAAACACTATTCCGTCGGTCTCCTTCTCCATTTCTTGAGCCAAGTGGTCATCTTTTGCATTGATCCTTCTCTCCTTCTACTTGTAAACACTTGTGGGCTTCATTGTGAGGGTGAGAGGTAGCCTTTTGTGAGTTTCCAGCCACTGTGGGTTGAAGTTTGGGGGCTAAGTTCATAGAGTGGTTGGTGGAAGCCATTATCTTGGTGTTTTGTGTCTCGAGTTGTGACCTTTGAAGAGAAAGGACTCTCCTTGAGGTGCCATTTTCATGCACTTGGAAACCAGAATCTAGAGGAGCTGTTGTGGGAGCTCCAAAAGCTTTACTTTTCGGTTTGAAGCATTGGGTGATTGTCTCCAACCTTGATATTGAGTTTCCTTGCTTAAAAGATGAATCCTTGGCATGTTAATGAGTTAAACAAGTATGTAATCTGTATATGAACTTAAAAGAGGACAAAAATGCATGCTTTAACGTTGGTTTGGGTTAAAAACCCAACCTTGTAAGTGGTATTTCGCGAAATGCAGATTCTGAGTTTCTGCCGCGAAATATCCGGATATTGATATCCGGATATTGATATCCGGATATGGGGTTCTGAATATCCAGATATTGATATCCGGATATTTCCAGTGAGATATCCGGATATTGATATCCGGATATTCCCTCGACAGATATCCGGATATTCTGGGTTTTCGAAGAACAGTGGCTGCACTGTTCATACAGAATGATATTTATGGGTTTGTGGACCCATGATGGGTTATGTTGAACCTCTGTAATAATTAACTAAGTCAGAATCTAATTGATTAAGGGCTTGTGGCTTTGTGAGGAGCCTAAAGACGTAAAACGTAAGAGAAATGTGTCGTCTTTTTGACTATGCTTATAGAGTATGAATATTGATGTTATAATTGGTCTAAACAGATTATGATCTTGCTGTTTGTGGACTTTGAGATTGTGTGGACTCTTGGCTTGAATAGCTAGCTTGCAAGGTAAGCTTTCGTGTCCTCGGTTTAGCCATTGTTGGTTCCACCATGTCCCATGGGGGGTATGGTTATATGTATGATGTTGTTTTCATGATATATTGTGAAATGCTATTGAGCTGTTATATGTGAGTGCCTTTTTGATATGCATGTGGTGTTCCACCTATACGGTAAGCTTGAGTATATGGCACATATAAGTGGGTGAGGCTGTGGGTGAGGTGCAAGCGGTGTTCCTTGTACTTATTGTGGGGTTGTAGACGTACGTCCTGCATTTCTCTAGCCAGTAGAATAGTTTTGACACACATGGCATGAATATCTGTTGCACTGCATAGTTTTGGAACTTATACTGTTAAATGCTCTTGAACTTATATTGCATATGTAAGTGAGCTTGGGGTGGAAGATCCTTGAGGACCCCTTGTCTTACTGAGATTTCTTGTTTAGAGATCTCACCCCACGTTTGGGGGCGCTTATTTCAGGTTCAGGTAACCAGGGGGTCGATACCTCTAGTGGCAGGAGGCCAGAGCTTAGTTAATACCTATTTTTGCTATTATGCTTGGATGCTGGATCCTGCTTACTGCTTTGTGCTTTTAGCTTCAGTTATGGATTACATTGTTGAGACTTTGTTGTTATGTTGTCTATTTGGTGAGCATGGGGTTTGTCTATGCCACATTGACTTGTCTATGTTTTAGTTTGGATTAGAGTTGTAATAATATATCAGGATTATGTCCGGATTATGTGTTGTAGATCTGTGACTTTAGATACTCACTATTATTTTATGAGGTATTTCAGTTAGTTATCCTTTGCAATTACATACAGGCGATATTTTTTATGAAATTGATTAAGTAATCAACTTGGCTAAGATTAATGACGTCATAATTGAACAGAAAAAGATATTCCGCCTTTTTAATTAAGCGTGGCTTAATACGATGACATGTTAACAAACCGGGTATGCACGGGGTGTTACAGGGTCCTACCACGATTACATGACGGTATTAATAACTACCCACGTTTAGAATAACTACCTATGTAAGGGCTATATATACCAAGAATAATAGCCTAAGAAAGACATATTTGAACCATACCATATCCATACTGATGTTCATCCTGAACACTTATAAAATAGGGTTTGATGTTTGTCATTTTAAATGACATAAGTTATGTCATATTAGGAGAGAGATAGACACAAGGAATGAAAATCATGAGGGAGAAAGTGAGTGATTTTTTTAATTTAAATTTTAAATAAAAAAATTAGTTTGTGTCTATCTCTCTCTTAAAATGACATAACTTTATGTAATTTAAAATGACAAACACTTTTTCCTATAAAATAATATTAAATGAAAGATGTTAATTTAATTTTAACATAACGATGATAAAATAATTGTTACAGAGAAATATTATAAATAATATATATATATATATGTGTGTGTATATGTAAACATTATTTTTTTTATTTTTAAATATTATGAAAGAAATCATCATGATAAAATTTTGTTGTTTGGCTCACCAAAAAAAAAAATTGTTGTTTTTTATTTTAAAATTATAAAAATATATATGAAGATAATATAATATTTTATGATTATAAACGAATATATATTTACTTAAAAGAATCATTTTTTTATTTTGAATTACATCTTTAAATGATCTAATTGGTTTTTACATATTTAATCATTTATATTTTATCCGTTGAATGATACCAAATTATCTCATATATACATAAAAATAGATGTGATCTACTTTTTATTTTTCTTCCTCTTTATTTTACTGGGGTTGACTCACTTTTTTGAATGTGCATGAAACACCATCATGAAAAATGTATTCCCCAATTTTGAAACAACGGATCTTGGTTTTGTAGTTCATTTTCTTTTCAATTGTGTGGTAGCTTAATCATTGTGATTTTTTTAATCAATTCATACTATATAATAAATAAATAAATAAATGCGTTATTTTTCACACTCTCAACATCCTTGTTGTGCTATTGTGGAGTTAGAGCTATATTTATATCCCTCAAGAGATGTAGTATTTTGTTGTGTATATGCTCAATGAGACAATGATATGTACCAAAGAGTCACATGACTGCTATCTAGAGTATGGCTGGGAGAAGTGAATGTGTAATGGCCCGAAAACTCTAAAATTTAACATACTAACACCTCAATAAAGTAACAATGCAAAATGCAACTTCAACTACAGAAGAGGGATTTATGTAGGTAAAAAATATTCCTTAATGATATGGGAGAGAGTAAGAGTCTCACGATTTTGTCTATTTCACCTATCTATTATGAGTGAGGAGGGGCATTACTACATATATGCAGTGAGAGTGAAATGATAGTTCCTCTGAGATGAAATTTGTTCTCATTATGAAAAGGCAGGAGTGTGATTTCTTAACGAATCTTTACACACCAATCCACATGTATTGAGATGTGAACGTCATTTCTGAACATTTGTCTATTTAACAAATAATGAAAATAATTTATAAAAAAATAATGAAAATAAACCAACGTATGTTTGCCGTATTATCAAGAAAATCAGACACATTAAATTACAACTAGAGAAATTTTAATTTTTGAAGTCTCAATTCCAACATTTTCACGCTATTTCAAATCTCATTTCCACCTCAGAAGCAAGGCTATTTTTAAAAAGGTCCTTTAAAACTTGAAAATTTATATATATATTTTTACAATAGTCAATATGAAAATTATTGTTGCATAGAGTTAGTCCTACCATGATATAAATATTATTGACT